CTTGCCTAGTATCATGATAGGCGCCATCACGACAGGTTGAGTTTTGGGTCGTGACAAGGTTCTTTCTCTCCAAGAATCACATGCAAAGATCTCCTTCTATATTTTTAAGCGTGATTAGCAATATTAGATGCAAGACAAAAAGAAAAATTCATGGATGAGGTAGCTAATAAGGTAATGAAATACAAAAAAACTATAAGATTCCAAAACTCTAAGCAAAAAAGAAGATTTTTCAATGGATATGGTTATAATTCATTGAAAACATATAGATGAGTTAATATACAAAATTTGAGGAAGATTGGAGGTAATTTGAACTGATTTGGCATCAAAATTCGTAGTTAAAATCGAGTTCAAAAAATTCTTTTGCGACATATGTATCAAACGTGTATCACATATGTATCTCACACACAGGTATACATGAATATACATGTAATACATGTTTGATGCATATGTGATACACAAATAATACACAATGTGATAAAAACTCCACCAAATCATCCCAAAAATTGGGATTCAAGCTCCTTAAGATGTACCCAATCTATTCTAATAATACTCATTCAAAAGAAAGTAAAGAATTGACATTTGTTTTGGCTACAAATAAACTAATTGGCTAATATGGATAATAGTTGGCTAATATTAGTAATATTTTATGAATTGGCCAATTTTTGCAATGAGCTACTTAAAAATGAACATAGTTGATAGTTTCCCTATATTTACCCAATTCGAAATTGATCTCTTTTTAACTTAAAATTATTTTATTATGCTTCCATAATAATAACTTACAATAAAATATATTATATTATTTTGTAAATATAACAATTAGTTTATTAGAATGTATTTATAATTTTGTATAAACGTGTTAAAAAATTATGTAAATAACAAGATGACTAAGAGATGGCACTTCTTCTAAAAAACGTATGCTCTTTCTCTCTAGCTTCCATGCCCTCAGCGCACGTTAGTTAAACGTACGCCTATCCACCGTAGTTATGGCTAGGGGAAGAGGTCGAGCTCATGGATGACTTAGGTTGCAACCTTTGGCTACTATAGGTAAAGCAGCTGAAGCTCATACGCAATCGGAAAAATCAACGTTGGCACAACCGGCTACTACTCATGTTCCATTGCTTGAGTCAAATTTGAAGCAGAAACAAATGGAATCGAGTGTGCAACACACTGCTAAGAGACTGGACATGAGTACTAATCTATATCTAAGTGGGCGAAAGGAGGATTCAACACTGAAGTCAACAGATCAGACGAGTACAAGTAAGGGCATCCCAGATCTGGAACCAACGATTTAGAACAAGGAGAAGTCAATTGCATGGACCTTCCTCTTTGCAGCTAATCGTAGCTCAGAAAATGGTTTAAAATTAGACTACAATCCTCCTGCAATTGTTGAGGGGAAAGTTGTAGTTCAGCTGGAAAAGGATGATGTTGATAGAGAAATCCAAAAATGGAAGAGTGCACTGATTGTGTAGGTAATTGGAGAGACACTGGGGTATAACTATATGCATAGATTTGTGAAACCGAGCTGGAATCGAGTGGCTGAAGTAGAGGTATTTTACCATGATGAAAGGTATTACGTTATCAAATTTCAGTCTACAAGTGACATGCAGGAAATATTATATTCTGGGCCTTATACAATCAATAATAAACCGATGATATTGAAGCCATGGACTGTAAATTTTGATTTCACAAAAGAATTCATGCAGGAAATTCCCCCGTGGGTGGTATTTCCAAACCTACCATGGGTTGCTGGGGAGGAAGATCATTGAGTAGGATTGCTAGTGCAATAGGAAAACTAATGTATATTGATGAGTGTACCTCTAAATAGAAAAGGATTTCCTATGCTCGCATTCTCATTGAAATAAATGTTACAAGGCCACTTCCTACTAGTGTCTTAGTGTGGGAACCATATGGGAGACAATTTGAGCAAACGATTGAATACGACTGGAAACCAGAATTTTGTGAGGTCTACTTAAAAATAGGTCACTGCTGCAGGCAAAAAAAAGTTGAGAATCAGAACTTTATGCAGCAAAGGAAAAGAGAAGACCAAGAGAAAATGCCCAGCCAACACATACAGATGTTAGACCTCCAAAGATGATACAAGTGTGGAGAACAAAAGCAGTTGTTGACAAGAATGGTAAGGTTGCTGAGGTTATGGTGACTAGCAAAGCCACAGTTGATGAACATTGTCAATAGGAAGTAGGACAAAGGCAGATGACCTTGCTTGTCAGGGAGGACCAGATTACTGTCACAAAGGAACCTGCTAAGGAAAGCATCGGAGTGGAAAACCAAGAACATAAAAGCCATGAGCTTAGTTGTCCTAGAGAATTTCCAGCTCTAGCAGCTAGCATGCAGAGGATCACTAGTACAAAAAAGATAACATGTGGATTAGAGAGAAATAAGAACATGCCTACAGTAGAAAGTAGGCCTCCTTCCCTATCCCAATGACTTGGTTGGTATGGAACGTTAGGAGTATAAACAAGAGATACAAGAAGAAAGATCTCTCAACATATATGAAGAATAAACATATCAAACTAGCTGGATTGCTTGAAACTAGAGTCAAAGAATCAAATGTGAAGAGAGTTATCAAAAACATACTACCATAATGGGCATTGCAGTATAACTACCAGAAAGTTGTGGATGGCAGAATATGGCTCACCTGGGATCCAAATGTGTATAGTGTTGATGTTGAAAGAGTGGAGGCTCAAATTATATGCTGCCTAGTTAAAGAAAAATTAGATGGATTTGAAGCATATCTAACATTGGTATATGGCTTCAATACAGTTAATCAAAGAAAGGAGTTATGGACAAGTATGGCTGATAGGTGGTGATTTTAATGCTATGTTATATACACAAGACAAGATGTATGACAACCCTGTGATACTGAATGAAATTACTAACTTTTCTGATTGCATATACAATCTATTATTGAATGAACTACTATAGAGAGGATACTACTATACCTGGGCCAATAATTTACAGGGGGCAGAAAGGATTGTGATCAGAATTGATAGGATCTTTGGCAATGATAGCTGGATGATGAACTGGGGTCATGTGCACACAGAATATGATATACCTTTAATATCTGGCCACTCACCAATGCTTGTCTATACAAAGACTGTGAAACTTAACATTAGAACTCCTTTTAGGTTTTTTAATGTATGGGCCTCTCATGATGAGCTTGATACAATTGTTGGCAATCTATGGAGAAGAAAGGAAGTCAATGATCAAATGGAGAACATTTGGAAGAAACTAAAAGCTATGAAACCTCTATTCAAAAGTCTTAATACTAATGAGTATAAGAGCATTGCTGAGAGAATTGAAAATGCCAAGGTTGATCTTATTCAAGTCTAGGAGGAAATGAGGATGCAATATTCAGATAATCTACTACTACTAGAGAAGACTATCATACAAAACTTGGAGAAGTGGTCCCTCATTGAGAAAAGTGCCCTCAAACATATGGCTAGAGTGAAATGGATCAAGCTAGGAGATGTTAATACCAAGTACTTCTCTGTTATAATGAAGGAGTGAAGTCAAATGAAGCATATACTAGAGATATACAATGATGATGGAATAAAATTAGCTACTCCTACTAGCATTAAAGAGGAGATAGTTAAATTTTATAAGAGCTTGATGGGAACTGTTGCTGCATCTTTGCCTGATATCAATAAGGAAACTATAGAAAATAGACCTAAACTCACTCATGAACAACAATTGAGCTTATGTGTGGAAGTAACAGAGGAGGAGATATATGCAGTATTATGTGCAATACATGAAGATAAGGCCCTTAGAGTGGATGGATATAACTCTTGTTTCTTCAAAAGAGCATGTCCACTGATCAAAAGTGATGTAGTGAGAGCAATTAAGGATTTCTTCACTACTGGCAAGTAGGGGTGTTCATGGTTCGGTTTGGGTCGGTTTTTCCATAAAAAGAAACCAAACTAAGTAAGTCGGTTTTTCAAATATTGGAACCAAACCAAACCAATTAAGTCGGTTTTTTATAGATTCGGTTTTTGTCGGTTTTTGGGTTATTTATCGGGTTTTTTTAAATATGAGACATACACTACCAAACGCATATTCCGGCGAGTACATTTTCAACGTAACGCTATCAAACCAATTGCTCTTTGAGAAATCTATCATTTACCAAGATATATTGATGATAATTGACTCAAATAGTGATGAATAACTTAAGTACTCAATTAAAAATTGATTATTTTTAACATGAAATAAATTCTTGTACTTAATAAAAGAAAACTATCAATCAAACTAAAAGGCAAAGAATTAGATTATTATAATAGCAAAGAACTAGACTAAAAATACAAATGACTAATATGTACCATAAAATTTTAGAAACTTTATATAAAAATATACATATATATATAAGTGTAATAATAAATTTAAATAGATACTTTTATAGTCGGTTTGGTTCGGTTTTTTTTATTAAAACCAAAACCAAATCAAATTTGATCGGGTTTTAAAATTTAAAACCAAAACCAAACCAAACCTAAAAATATCGGTGTTTTTGGTCGGTTTGTTTTGGTTTTCGGTTTGGTTCGGTTTTTCGGGTTTTTATGAATACTCCTACTGGAAAGCTATATAAAGCCATAAATTGCACTGCATTTATACTGGTACCTAAGGCGAGCAATCCTGCAACAACATTTGATTTCAGACCTATTGTCTGCTGCTCATTTCTATATAAGATCATCTCAAAGGTGCTGGCAAATAGATTACAGAAAGTCATAGCAAACATCATTAATGAAGCACAAAGTTGTTTCATTCTTGGGAGGAAAATTACAGACAACATCATCCTGGCTCACGAGCTTGTCAAAGCTTATACAAAGAAGAATACCTCTACTAGATGCATAATCAAAATAGACCTGACCAAGGCCTATGATTATATGGAGTGGATCATCTTGGAGCAGGTCATGGTTGAGCTAGAATTCCCTAGAAGATTTCAAGAGTAGGTTCTAACCTATGTTAATACTGTGAGCTATTCAATTGTAATGAATGGAGAACCTTCAGTTCCTTTCCCAGCAACTAAAGGATTGAGACAAGGCGATCCTATTTCACCTTTCTTATTTGCAATTGTAATGGAGTACTTGAGTAGAAGCCTCAAAGGATTACAAAAGGAGAAGGAGTATAAATTCCACCCTAGGTGTTCAAAGCTAAGTATTACGCATCTAAGTTTTGTTGATGATTTGCTCTTATTTGCAAGAGGTGATATACCTTATGGTACTCAGCTTCAACAATGCCTTAACCAATTTTATAGAGCATCAGGACTACAAGCTAATCAGACTAAGAGTTTTATCTACAATGGAGGTGTTACACAAGTAGTCAAAGATGAGATGCAACAAAGATTTGGTTACTCCAGAGGTGAACTCCCAGTAAAATACTTAGAAGTGTCTCTATCTACTAAGAACATGTCCTTAGCTCAATGGCAACCTTTGATAGAGAAAATTATAGCTAGAATCTCCTTCTGGACAACCAAAAACTGTCTTATGCAGGTATGATTCAGTTAGTGTAATTCAGTTCTGTTTGGTATACAAGTTTATTGGTCACAATTATTCCTAATCCCAAACAAAGTTCTCAAAACAATAGAGGCTTACTGTATGAGTTATGTATGGTCTGGTTCTAATGTTATCACAAGAAGATCACTTGTGTCTTGGGAGAAAATGTGTACACCTAAGAGTGTAGGAGGTCTAAACCTCATCAACCTTAAACTTTGGAATAAGGTTGCTGCTGCTAAAAATCACTGGGATCTTGCATATAAGGTGGACAAGCTGTGGATTAGGTGGATCAGTTCCTATTATATAAAAAACCAACAGCTAGATGACATGCCAATTCCTCAACAGGCTTCTTGGCTGGTCAGAAAGATGATTGGAGTAAGGGATATAGTGGGCCTAAGTCAGACAACGACTTAAGGAAAATGCAGCATGATCAGACAACTCTACTACCAGATGCTGGGTCAACTACCTAGAGTGGAATGGAAAATCTCAATATTTACAAATGAAGCAAGAGCCAAAGCTAAGTTTACAATATTGATGTACCTTCAAAACAAACTACTTACAAGTGATAGACTTCTACAGTGGGGTATTCCAGTGGACACAATATGTGTCATGTGTCAATTGCATAATGAGAGCAGAAACCATCTCTTTGTGGAATGTGTCTTTGCTCAAAGGACATGGAACAAGGTCCTAATGTGGCTTCAAAAGCAACCACATGGTCTGAATTCATGGAACCAACATTGGAGATGGGCAATGGAGAATGCTAAAGGAAAGTCTCAAGCAGATGCCACTTTCAAGATGATATATGCTGAGATAATCCACATGATATGGTGTGAAAGAAACAACCGAGTGTTTGAGAAGGCCGGCAGAGATGTAGAAGAAATAGCAAGAACTATAGCATGAGTATGTAATGTCAGAGATAATGCTCGAACTAGGAGCCTACTGCAATTGTTAAAATTTTGAATAGTTGTTTCGAATAGTTAGATGGTGAGGTGAGCGGTTTAATTGGATGTACCGGGAGAGATAGATACTGTATAGAAACAACTGACTGAGTTTAAAGTCAGGTGTGGTTTTGTAATGACTCACTTAGTGATTAATAAAAATTATTTAATTACCAAAAAAATAAAATGACTAATTGATTAAGAAATAATGGTGACATAATTACAATTATGCTAATAATATAAATTTTACGAATATAATAATAAGTAAATTATTAAGACTAATGACTATATTTTTTTAAAAGAACAAAATAAGTAATTTGAACAAATTTGAAAAATAGATCAATATATTTTATTAATTATTATTGACTAAGAAGCATAAGAAAATTAATTGGGAAAAATGGGACGGTCAAAATTGATCGTCAACAAGCCCCATATTAGGCAAAGTGATATTGATCGTTAAGTTAGATCCGACCAACACTTAAGCTAGGACCTGCCCCTCCGGAGTTAGGTAATAACCTGTGGATGCAGGCGCACGGGTCATATATGTTCTTGGTGAGGGACAAATGTCAGACACTCGTACATAGCTAAGTGTGGGTGTGTGTGATGATTGAAGGGTATGTCATGACCTAAAATCCCTCCTTAAGAGTCGTGATGATACCTAGTCTTCCAACATTATTTTAAACAATGAAAACATGAATAAACGAAAATGAAGTATAATATAAATGCAAAAATAAGAGTAATACAGGCCAAATCGGAAAATACTCAACATAATATCACAGAAGGTAACTCCGAGGCCTGCGGTTGGATCATGCAGGGATACCTTGAAGTATCTAGTGTTGTAATGACCCGACCGGTTATTTTGAGCATTAGCATTTTGTTCAGCTATTTGGATTCTTGACTAGCTTCGTATGATTTATTATGACTTGTGCATATCGTCGATTTTGGTTTTAAGGTGTTTTAGAATTAGTTTGGAAGAATGAATTTTATGTTTAAAGCTTTAAGTTGGAAGAGTTGACCAAGTTTGGCTTTTAGTACTTGACCTTAGTTCAGAGTTTTGATAGATCCGCTAGGTCCGGATGGTGATTTTGGACTCGAGCGTATGCCCGGATTTGCATTTGGATATTTCTAGAAGGTTTCGGCAGTAATTGGCGAAAGTTGGAAATTTGAAAGTTTGGAATGTTCATAAGTTTGACCGAGAGCTGATTTTGATGATATCAGATTCGGATTATGGTTCCGGGAGTTGGCATTGTTTATTTATGTCATTTTGGACTTGTTGGTATGTTCAGACGAGGTCCCGAGGAGATCAGGTGAGTTTCAGATGTGGTTCAGATCATTTCGAATGGTTTTTGCATTTGCTAGTTTTCTGTCGTTACCTGTTGCTTCTGGTGTTCTTCGCTATTGTGAAGGGTGATTTGGTCTACTGTGAATTTGTTCTTTGCATTCGCGTAGAGTAGGGTTTGGTCTTCATCACATTCGCATCTGCTTCTACACGTTCGCGTAGTGATTGGGCTGATTTGGGCAAGATGTTTGTTACCTCTTTGCGTTCGCGATGTTATTCCCGCGATTGCATAGTTCTGTGAGCCTTGTTTATCACATTCGCGAGGCTATTGCTGCGATCGCATAGTGCATTTTCAAGGGTAGTGTATTTTCTTCTTCGCGATCACGATGGTATTTCCGCGATCCTGATTGATTGATTCGTCCTATGAATATAAAGTACTCTATTTTAGAGGTTTCAACCACCTTTGCATATTTGGAGCTATGGAGCTCGGATTGAAGCGATTTTTGAGGCGATTGTTACCATATGGATTGGGGTAAGTGTTCTCTAATCGGTCTTGATTTTATTTCATAAATCTATCTTCATTTTTGGCAATTGGTTAATGATTTCAATAGAGAAATTGGTTTTTTTGTCCAAATTTGATAAAGTGAATTTGCGAATTTTGAGCATCAATTCAGAGTCGGCTTTGTGTGAAACTAGTATGATTAGACTCGTAATTGAATGCATTGTCGGCTTTTGTGAGTTTTGCCGGGTTCTGAGGTGCGGCCCGAATTTAACTTTTTGGTTGACTTTGGGCTTTTGATTAAAGATTTGACCTTTATCGATTGGGTTTATTTTCTTAGGAATTATTTGATGTATTTGAGTTGCTTTTGGCTAGTTTCGAGCCGTTCATAGGTTGATGCGCACAAGATAGCATTTCTAGAGTATCGTTTGTCTTGCCCAGAATTGTGTTTGGCTTGTTCGAGGTAAGTAATACTTCTAAACTTGGTGCTGAGGGTATGAACCCTGAATATACGTGTTATGTATTTGGTGTTGAGGTGATGCACACGTTAGGTGACGGGCGTGCGGGCGTGAACCATGTGAATTATGACTCGGTTGATTCTGTGGTACTGTGTAGCTACTAAATCTTGTTTTTATCTGTGAAATTTTACGTGCTAAAGTAATTGAGCTATGATCCATGTTAGGCGATATGCTTATTCTGTTGGGCCCCACTGAGGTCATTTTTGTTGTTGGGTTATTTGCTTAAATTGCAATCACATGCTCAGTCATAGTAATTTATTTGCATATCATATCTCAGTCTCTGTTATCATTTGCTATCATATCATATTATCATTGTTTGGGTTGATTGGCATGAGATTTGTGAGCCCGAGAGACTGGAGAGATTGATGACTGAGTTGGGGCCCGAGAGACGGATTGTGAGTGATATTGATGGGATCGGGTTGCATTCCGTAGCAGGCCATATTGGCTTTATATATATTATTATTATTATTATTATTATTATTATATGGATCGGGGTGCACGCCACAACATGACCTATGGGCTTTATATANTAGCGCTTGGGCATGATCCGCCCCTCCGGAGTCTGGCATACCAACAACGAGCACAAGTAATATTGATTTATGATGGGATCGGGGTGTGCGCCGTAACAGGTACCGTACAATGCTGAGTAACTAAGTGCGCTGAGGGATTGAGCATGATGAGTGGGAGTGTGAGACAGTGAGATTGAGTACTCCAGGAGTACAAGTACATGAGTTTATCACTGTGATGCATTGCATTGACATGTATTTTTGACATACATGCATAGAGATGCATTTCCTCATGCTACGCGGTATTGTGACATTCATAACTTCACATGCACTTTGACATGTAGGCATAAAGATGTACTTTCCTCATGCTATTTGAGATTGAAATATCTTATCTGTTTTTTAAAGCTTTGGGAAAAAATCACAGATTTCTTATTTACTCATATTTTGGTAATTTCGGTGAAAGATTTGGGTTTTACTATTACACCTGGAAAGCGTGTCTATTTCTTTCGTAACTGTGCACTAGCTGAGAATCATATCTTTGAGTTGTTTCTCATACTACTTTTATTATATTGTTATGAGTTGATGTTGGCTATTGGTGTTGGACTCTGACAGTTGTCCAAGCTTATCAATATTTTCAACCTAAGGTTAGGTTTGTTACTTATTGAGTACATGGTGTCGGTTTTACTCATACTACACTTCTGCACCTTGCGTGCTAATTTTGGATGATGATGTTGATGAGTATGACATGAACTAGCATTGAAGATGTACCTGCGTTCCGGTCATAACTGCCTCTTGTTTTTGGTAACTTTAGAACTATTAATCTATTCATGTATATTTCAAATAGATGATGTATTTATTTCATACCAGCTTTGTAAACTCTATATCTTAGTAGCTCATGATTTGTACTACCAGTCCTTAGGAAGTCTATAAAGTTCGGTTATATTAAAATTATTTCTCTCAGTAAACCTCATTTGAATTGGATTGTTGCTAATTGGCTTACCTAGCAGGTTGGGTTAGGTGCCATCACGATTAATTGGATTTTGTGTCGTGACAAGTTGCTATCAGAGCTCTAGGTTAATAGGTTCTACGAGTCATGAGAAAGTTTGTAGTAGAGTCTTGCGAATCGGTATGATGACGTCCATACCTACTTCGAAAGGCTACATGGCAATTAGGATAAACTTTCCATCTTTCTTTCCTTATCGTGCGACATTGATTCAGCTTGAAGTGTATTCTTTGAATTCCTTCCACTCACTCGTACGTGTATGTGAGCGCTCGGTATCAGTTGTGCATCTACGATTTGTGGATTCTATGGATGGGATGCGAGATGTGTTGCTATGTTTTGGAGTTAGGCCAGTCTGGAGGACGTGAGGCTAGGTTTGGACCGCAACTTAGGCTTGGTAGTTTCACTTGTGTGAGCATGTGCTTTTGGAATTTTATGTCCAGTAATGTTCCTATGAGTGGAATTTGTGGCTCGATGAGTGGTTGGATGGCTATATGAGTTTGACATGACTGCGAGATTTGTTCTGATGGTTTGAATGTGATGAGAAGAGTTTGCTTAAGATATAAAAAGGACTATTGGGGTGCTAAAAAGGGCTATTGGGTTATTGATTTCTGTCTTGATGTGACATACAATTTCGAGTTATGAGTGTGTTGAAGGATCTTTCATGTTGTTTAATTGTGTAATGAATTAGATTCTTATGTCTTGTTGATGAGTTCAAAATCAAGAAGATTAAGTGATTGCGTAGTAGTTGTGGCTGTAAAAGGGTATAGATAGATACCAGTTTGAGGCAAATAGGTGGGTTATCACCTGCAGGGTACTCTACGAATGTGTGATCCTTATGTTGTTGTGTGGAGGCTTTCCTTTCTAACAGTGGGTATAGGTATTGCGATTTGAGTTTGGATTGATTGAGGAAGTTGACCTGACCGACACGAGGAGGAATGCGAGCTTAGAAAATGATTTTAGGTGTTATATGGTTTGTGTTACATGAGCGTATGAAAGATTTAGTTGAATCTCACTGCGGTATTCTAGCAGTAATAGAGTATGGGCATTGTGAGTAATCCAGTGTTTTGGTCTATGGATTTGAGCCAAGTGGGGGAGTCTTCTATCGATGATTTGATTGCATATTTATGCATTGTATTGGTTTTAGTTTGAGGCATACT